GAGTACAACCCAGTTTAGGGTTTGCTATTTGTATCCCAACTTTCTATAGTGAAACCCCTCATTCTTCCTTCTCGACTTTCCTCACCCAAAATTCTCTCGACGCTAGTATTCAAACAAGGAGCTCCCCGTCTTCGACATGGTTGACGATCTCATCCTGGCTGTGGCCGATTTGCTTGGTCGGTCGGGACCGCGCTACGCACGGTTCATGGATCTGCAAGAGGTTGTCACCTTAACGAGCCTTGAAGTGCAAGGCATCCACTCCGTTCAGTGGCTGTCAAGGGGGGATACCGCCCATCGCCTTGTCCCTGATTTGCCGGCAGTGATTGCGCTGCTGTAGGAGCTTAACAGCAAGATGTACGCGCTGGCAAGCTCCTACCGTTTTCACTTCCTTTACTTCCTGGCTGATGTGCTTGAGCAGCTCAACATCTTGAACAAGACCTTCCAGCAGAGACATGTGAGGTGGTATGATTATATCTAAGCATGTTACCATTCTAACTATGTCTTTGTGTGCCTTTGTCCGTCTAGCTCGATTTGGTGTCTTTGCATGCGCAGATCAAGCGGACAACTCGTCACATCGAGAGCCGCTACGTGGACTGCGGCGATGACTTCGGCGGTGGCATGAGCTAGTGGCTGTCACCTTTCTTGGAGCGCCATGGCCCGGGGTGTAGCCGCGAAGTGAAGGTGGAAGGTGTCGACAGCGACGGCCGACCATCTTCTATTACATTTACCCTTCACGACGAGCCCGTGGACTCGTACAACGCCCCAGAGGACCACGACGGCTGCATCCAGTTGTGCATCGAGTTCGCAGAGAGGATCGTGGCGAACCTAGAGGGAAGGCTCGGTGATCTCGACTCGCTCTCCGGAGTCCGCCTATCCACACCTGATGCATGGTCACAAAGCAAGTCTGAGCGGAATGCTCGTTGCCAGGAGTGGCTTCACTCGCTGGTGACAATGTTCAAGGCACAGGACCGTAAGGAGATCTTGCCAAGTTCGTTATGGGTAATTTGTGAAGTCATGATTTCATCCCTATGCTTGAGAATCCTTTGTGTGAAAGAACGAGGAATGAATGAACTAGGAAACAGTTGGATACAAATGTGAAGCCCTAGAAACCTGTACCCCTTAGAGTCTACCCCACTACAGCCTACATAGGCTAAGTCATATATATCTGACACACCCCCATAGGCAAAGTGGGGGAGATCTAGGGGTCACAAGACCATTCAAGCAAAGCAAAACAAAGCAAGCTCAGGGTGGATCACAACGTCACCACACAGTCCGAGCAAAGGATCAAGGCCAAGCAAGTGTAGGTATAAATGCCTGCCAGCCGCAGGAGGGGGAGACAATCAGTAACGCGTGAGCAGGCGTGGAGGCATGCAGGTAGGTAGGTGGCGCGGCATGTGGACAGGCGGGCGGCGCAGCGCGCTGCCTGATGGTTGGCGCGGCGCTCTGGTCTGCCGGTGGCGCGGCGGGTCGACGAGCAGATTGCGCGGGCGCGCGGGTCTATGGGCGGCTCGGCGGGTCGACGGGCGGGCCTACAGGCAACGCGGCGCGCGGGCCTATGGGCGGCACGGCGGGTCGACGGGCGGGCCTACGGACGGCGCGACGCGCGGGCCAACGGGCGGCTCGGCGGGTCGACGGGCGGGCCTACGGGCGGGTCGACTCGTGGGCCTACGAGGAGCGCGACGCGCGGGCCTACGGGCGGGCCTACGAGCAGCGCGACGCGCGAGCCTGCGGGCGAGCCTACGGGCAGCGCGACACGCGGGCCTACTGGCGGGCCTACGGGCAGCGCGACGCGCGGGCCTGCGGGCGGGCCTACGGGCAGTGTGACGCGCAGGCATGCGGGCGGGTGGCGCGGTGGCTAGGGGACGGGTCGCGCTGCAGGTCGACCGGCGGCGTGGCGCGCTAGGGGGTAGCTGGCTGGCTGGCTGGCGGCTTAGGACTCAGCGCGCTGGTGTGTCTGGCGAGCTAGGGAACTAACCTAGGGCCTAGGAGCGAGGAACCTAGCTGATACCATCTCAGAAAGTGGCTACAGCGGAATGAGTTGCATTGATTGTGTTGGAGTACAACTACCTAACCCTAACTGCTTGTACCCCATATAGCATGACCCACTAAATGCTATAACATTTGACAATGTCACTAGCTGCACACGCACTAAGGTTGGTGCAGTATAAATATGCCGTAAGAGGGGTGGTGGGTATACTATGATGGGTACCGTACTAGCTGCGCACTAAGATGTGTATACTACCAGGTGTTCCTGGGTTATTCGACAATCGCTCGTCCTATGTCAAGAGGGGTGGTGGATCAAGGTGATGGTGGTGGTGGTGGTGGCGGCGGCATCGGCGACAGTGGTAGTAGCGATGGTGGTGGGTGGTGTTGGTGGTGGTGGTGGTGAGTTAATAAATGATGGCGGTGGTGGTGGCCCTACAAGAGTAGGGAAGCTTGATGAGGAAATTGGAGGAGAGAGGGAAGGAGTGGATTAGGAGGATAGGGGTGGAGGTGGAGGGAGTGTGGGTGTTGATAGAAGAGGCTGCTGGGGGGGAGGTGGGGGTCTTTCAGGGGAAGGAGGGAGCAATGGTGATGGTGGTGGTGGGGGCAATGGTGGTGGGGGAGGGGAGACGGCTGGGAGAATGAATGGGTTATTGGGAAAAATGGGTACTTATGGGGAAGTTAAGGCACTGGAAACGGATGTACCAGATGGGGGTGGTGGTGGAGGTGGGGACGGGGGAGGAAGAGGGGGAGGGGAAGGCGGATGGAAGGGGGGAGGAGGAGGACGAGGAGGGGGGGACGGCGGAGGGTGTGGGGGAGGCATGGGAGGGGGTCGGGGCGGCGGGGACGGCAGCAACGGCGGTGACGGCGGTGGGCTGGGGGGAGGGGGAGGAGGAGGAGAGGGAGGGGGACTGGGCGGAGGAGGAGAGAAAGTCCACGGCTGCACCACTCCACACTTGGCCACCTGAGTCATAGAATTAGCTGTCTGATCCACAGGCAACCCTGCATTCACCCACCCCCTCACATTTGTCCCGTTCAACACCGCGGGGATAATCGTTCCCGTAGACAGCCCATACACGTTCACATACGTGGGCTGCAGGACTGCTTTCGAATGCCCGTCCGGATACGACGAATCTATGTTTATGTTGTCGAGGTGAATCTGCTGGCATGGCACGGAGGCGCTGCAGTTGAAGGTGATCCCGCGAGTACCGTTGGTGGTGCCCTGCACGTTGCGGTATGTGATGTTGAATATGGCCACTGCACTCTGTTGGATCGGGCACGCGAATGCGGTATCGCAGTAGTACTGGTGCGGTGGGTTGGGAGTTGGGGGGAGAAAGGGAAGCAGGAGAAGAGGGTGCATTGAGGGAATAGCCTGGATGGTATGAATTGCTGTGTTTTGAGTTGATTCAAGACACGACTCATTACACGCAGAGCCTGGATGGTTTGATTTGCTGGATAAGGCACGTGGCGATGTCGACAGTGGTGCTGGTGCTGGTATCGCACTTGTCACAATGACATTGTTCAGCATGAGTGACATTGTTCAGCATGAGTGACATTGTTCAGCATGAGTGACATTGTTCAGCATGAGTGACATTGTTCAGCATGAGTGACATTGTTCAGCATGAGTGACATTGTTCAGCATGAGTGTCATTGTTCAGCATCAATGACATTGTTCAGCATGAGTGACATTGTTCAGCATGAGTGACATTGTTCAGCATGAGTGACATTGTTCAGCATCAGTGACATTGTTCAGCATGAGTGACATTGTTAAGCATCAGTGACATTGTTCAGCATGAGTGACATTGTTCAGCATGAGTGACATTGTTAAGCATCAGTGACATTGTTCAGCATGAGTGACATTGTTCAGCATGAGTGACATTCTTCAGCATCAATGACATTGTTGAACATCAGTGACATTGTTCAGCATGAGTGACATTGTTCAGCATGAGTGACATTGTTCAGCATGAGTGACATTGTTCAGCATGAGTGATATTGTTCAGCATGAGTGACATTGTTCAGCATGAGTGACATTGTTCAGCATGAGTGACATTGTTCAGCATGAGTGACATTGTTCAGCATCAGTGACATTGTTCAGCATGAGTGTCATTGTTCAGCATCAATGACATTGTTCAGCATGAGTGACATTGTTCAGCATGAGTGACATTGTTCAGCATGAGTGACATTGTTCAGCATCAGTGACATTGTTCAGCATGAGTGACATTGTTAAGCATCAGTGACATTGTTCAGCATGAGTGACATTGTTCAGCATGAGTGACATTGTTAAGCATCAGTGACATTGTTCAACATGAGTGACATTGTTCAGCATGAGTGACATTGTTAAGCATCAGTGACATTGTTCAGCATGAGTGACATTGTTCAGCATGAGTGACATTGTTAAGCATCAGTGACATTGTTCAACATCAGTGACATTGTTCAGGATGAGTGACATTGTTCAGCATGAGTGACATTGTTCAGCATGAGTGACATTGTTCAGCATGAGTGATATTGTTCAGCATGAGTGACATTCTTCAGCATGAGTGACATTGTTCAGCATGAGTGACATTGTTCAGCATGAGTGACATTGTTCAGCATCAGTGACATTGTCGCAGCGGACGGAGGGGAGCACAAGGGTGTGTTTGTGAGTGAGTGGAGTGAGAAAGGACGCAAAGGTAATTATTATGTGCAGTTGTCACATACACACACACACACACACACACACACACGCACGCACGCACACACAGACACACACACACACACATACACACTCACACATACACACACACACCCACACACACACACACACACACACATACACACACGTACCTGGTCAATAATGATGGGGTATTTCACATCCTGCATGGTGACGTTTTCGTAGTGGATGTTCCAGACAGCGCCCTGGCCGCCCTGGTAGGTTTTGATGCGCAGCCCGTTGGAGAGCGCTGCTAGCTGCACGTTCTGCACCCGGATGTCCGACACACACGCCATACTGCCGCCCAAGCCCAGACTGCCGATGCTGGTCAATGGGACGAGGGGGAAGGGTGGAAGAAAAAAGGAGAAGGTATGAAAACGCGGTTGCCACACACATCAGGCTGCCGTGCATTTCCTGACTGCCAATGCTGGTGAAGAGAACAAAAGGGAGGAAGGAGAAAGGCAAAGAAGAAGATATGAACTTGCAGTTGGCACACACGCCACTCTGCCGCCCTCCAGACTGCTGATGCTGGTCAGGGGGGGGGGGGAAGGAGACAGGGAAGAAGGTCCATCAATCACTGTACTACACGTTCTATATCAATGAAAGGTCCATTCGGGAAGAAGGGTGAAGGGAAGGGGATCAATGCACACCGTTGACACGCAACCAGAACCCCTGAGAGGAAAACATCACGTACACAGGATTCCATGTACGCACCTGATGCCATGGCCTGCTGTGGCGACCACATTGCGTATGGTGATGTTCCTGCATCCTCCCACAATTGACACATTGTCATCGCCTGGCGCAGCAGCAGGGGGAGTGAGTGAGGTGGGGAGAGACGGGGAAGTGGAAAAGGGGAGAGAAGGTTGAATGAAGAAGAGGGGGGAGAGGTCAAGCAAGGGAAAGGAAGCCAGCCAAGGTTACCTCGTGCCCCACGCTCGGGCCAACACATGGCCCTTGCAATCCGCAAGACTCAACTTCAGCACAAGTATACCGTCCCCGGGCAGACACAAGCACGCACTTCGATGCGACACCAACTCACCTCCATGCGACACCAACTCACCTAAACCCTAAACTCTAAGCACTCACCTCCATGCGACACCAGCTCACCTAAACCCTAAACTCTAAGCACTCACCTCCGTGAGACGAGTAGTCCTCGACGAGCACGTCAGTGGTGCGAGTGAGGTGCAGGCTGTCGGTGTTGGGGCTGTTGAACGGCGTGCTCGTGCTGATGTCGTGGATCCACGCACCCGCCAGGTCCTTTATGTTCATGTGGAACATCGGCGGGTTGCTGCCACCCACAGGCAGGCGGGGAAAAAAACACGGACAGGACGAACTACTCTTTGTGTTGGAATGTCTCAACGGGTTATGCATCCATGTTGCATGCCTTTCCCTCAAGTGTTTAGTTTTTTTTTGCCTGTGCAGCAAGCTTGTCAGGTCAAGTGCCTTTTGCGTGGTCATTTTCAAGAGGAACACATGGGGGCTTTTTCTGCCACAGGAGTTCCATGGAGGTTATTTTCTGGTCAGGTCCGGACCGATAGGTTAAAGCCTATTTTCTCGATAATCTACCCTTCCCCCTCCCTCTTCCCCCTTCCCCTTCCCCACCATACCCGCGTCGTACCGCTCCAGCTCGGTCCTCTACTGATAGGTCACGCCGCTCACCCGACCCAACCGACCCTCACCAAGTGATTGTGCCAGTTCACGCAATTGACCACACCCGGCCGAATAAGGAGGGCACTACGGTAGACAGCCCCATACTGCTTAGTGGGAAGATTGGGACAGACTTAGTTAAAATATTCGTAGACGGGGGAGCCAACCACAGCCTGATCAATACCGCCACAGCACGGAAACTGAGACTGCCCTTGGACAGATGTTTACCTGAGATCGACGCAGGGCTGGTCGACGCCACGCCACTGGCGATACGAGAACGCGTAGACCGGGTTCGGATTCGATGCGGGGGTAACTTCACGTTTAGTCAGGAAATGCTTCGACAACCCTCGATGGAACCGACATTTTGCTCGGTCGTGATTGGCTGTGACGACACAATCCGCGAATCGACTGGACGACATGTGACTGCACCGTGTGACTGAACGGTAACAACACCACCTTACCTCGCTGGGGCTCGCCTGAGTCTTCATCGGTACGTGTCAATGCGGTCACGATGAAACGCGCCATAGCGGCAGGAGCTGACGTGTATGCGGTTGACATTCGGGAAGCCGAAGCAGGAGACAAGGGAAGTGATTTACAGAAACTGCTCGCCGATGTACCGGATGACTTGGCAGCACTCCTGAAGCGGTACATCAGGATCTTTCCAGATGACCTGCCGACGGGACTGCCACCTCAGCGACCGCACGACCATAGGATAGAGTTAGAACCGGGGGCACAACGGACAGTATAGCGACAGTTCCGACTGACCCAACCCGAACTGGACGAACAGAGGAAGCAGTTGGATTACCTGCTCGAGAAGGAGTTCATTCGCCCGAGTTTGTCTCCCTTCGCAGCACCGATACTGTTCACACCGAAGAAGGACGGGGGGTTTCGCATGTGCATAGATTACAAAACATTGAACAGGGTTACTATCAAGTCCCATTACCCCATCCCGCGAGACGAGGAACTGATCGACCAACTGCGCACAGCCCGGGTTTTCTCGAAAATCGACCTTAGAGGGGGCTACCACCAGATTCGAGTCAATCCACCCGACTGCCCCAAAACAGCATTTCGAACACGCTATGGATCCTTCGAATACACGGTAATGCCCTTGTGATTGATCAACGCCCCTGCCACTTTCCAAATGACGATGAACGAAGCCTTCCGCCCACTTTTAGATAAGTGCGTCATCGTCAACTTAGATGGTATACTGATTTACAGCCCCGACCGAACACAACACCTACAGGACATCGAAGCGGTTTTTATAATACTGAGTGAGAACCGCCTACTGACAAAAGCCTCTAAGTGTGAGTTTCTACAAGACAGACTGGAGTTTTTAGGAAACATAATCTCAGCGATGGAGTGGAAACAGACCCGAAAAAAATCGCGACGATTCAAGCCTGGCACGCGCCGACAAATTTGACTGAGCTACAGAGTTTTTTTAGGTTCGTCAATTACGTGCGCCGGTTCGTCCCCGACACAACGAAGTTGACTGCTCCGTTGACCGACCTGCTGAGGAAGGGGGTTGACTACACGTGGGGGGAGAAAGAGCAAGCTGCCTTCTCGACCCTCAAGAAAATTTTGTACTCACCGCCCGTGCTCCACATCGCTGTGTCAGAACTTATATTTGTAACTGCCTGTAGCTGTAGTTAGTGTAGTTATTATCAACTTTGTTTGGTGGTGCACCATATTTGTTTCCTTTGCTATATGTTCTTCGAAACCTATAGTGAAACCATCCTTTCCAACTTTCTCGACTCTCACCCTAGGCACAAACCTCTCGACATCCTAGTTGGGCCTAGGCTCCTAAGCCTAGGCCCTAGTTAAACTTGATCATTCTCGTTTCAGTTTCGATATGCTATCAGAGCGAGTTACGTCCTGGCCTGTGGGCCCGCCTCATGCTTCCGCTGCTACGTTTTTCCGGTCGCGCGCCTAGGGCGCGTGGCGATTTTCTATTGTCCCGCCCCCGGTTGGCGAGTGACTCCTACTCTGCCTGTCGCGCGCCCCGTGGCACGCGACGGTGCCCTAAACCTGCCCGTCGTGCGCCCCGTGGCACGCGACGGTGCCCTGCTCGTCGTGCGCCCCGTGGCACACGACGGTGCCCTTACCTTAAACTTACCCGTCGTGAGCCCCGTGGCACGCGACGGGCCTCTCCGCACCTGCTCTCACTGCAGCCGCCCCTGACCTACCTGCGCCGACACATTGTAGCCGCTCTGCGGCTTTCTTCCCGCCCACCCCCTCCTCCTTTGTCTCCCTGCAGCCGTGGGGGGGAGGGTATGGGGGTGGCGGGTGTTGGAGCGTTGGGTCGTATCCTTCCCTTCCCCTCCTCCTCCTTTCGTTCCCACTGCTGCAGCTGCCGCTGGGGGGGAGGGTGTGAGGGTGTGGGGGAGACGGGGGAGTGGCACCGGGGTGGCGGGTGTGAGGCAACCAGCAGCCGTCCCTCCACCTCTCCTCTCTTCCCCCCCTCTCTGCTGCTCCTGCAGCAGTGTGGGGGAGGGGAAGGAGGAGGGTGAGGAGATGGAGGGGGTGACCAGCTAGTGTTAGCCCGCCTGCAGTACCTGCTGTTGCTTGTTTATTATTTGCATGTGTACCCCTGTAGGTTGTATTCTGCACAAACTCCTGCTGCAGGCAGTTATGGGGGAGTGTCAGAACTTATATTTGTAACTGCCTGTAGCTGTAGTTAGTGTAGTTATAATCAACTTTGTTTGGTGGTGCACCTTATTTGTTTCCTTTGCTATATGTTCTTCGAAACCTATAGTGAAACCATCCTTTCCAACTTTCTCGACTCTCACCCTAGGCACAAACCTCTCGACATCCTAGTTGGGCCTAGGCTCCTAAGCCTAGGCCCTAGTTAAACTTGATCATTCTCGTTTCAGTTTCGATATGCTGATCCGCACCATCGATTCGAGCTTGTCACCAACGCTAGCGACCTTGCCGTGGAAGCAGTACTGTTGCAGGACTTCGGGAACGACCTCCAGCCAATCGCGTATGAGTCTAGCAAGCTTCACCCGCCCGAACGCATCTATCCGATACACGACCGCGAGATGCTGGCGATCGTGCACGCGTTCAAGGTGTGGCGGTGTTACCTCACGGGAGCAGACCTGACAGTACGGACAAACCACCGATCACTACAGTACCTTCGCGCCCGACCGAATCTCAATCAGTGACAGATCAGCATGTTGGACTATTTGGAGTCCAACTTCCACTATACCGTCACGTACAAGAAAGGTGCATCAAATATCGCCGACGCACTTACCCACCCTACCGCCCAACTCTACGCCATCCTACTCGCCCAAATCAACCCACCATTAACAGGACTATTCACCCACGGATACCGCGCCGATCCGTTTTTCACGACTGGAAATTCACAGCAACTGGCAGAAGTAAAGGGAGTCTATTACGTAAAAACAGGCACCAACCGCATCTGGGTACCCGCGTACTCACTACGGAGGGAGCTGCTATTGCAGGAGGCACACGACAGGATTGCCTCGGGACATTTTGGGGTAGAAAAAATGCGACAGCAACTGCAGCGGTACTACTACTAGCCGGAGCTGTTGACCGACGTACAGCAGCAAGTGGGCTTGTGCCCCACGTGTCAGGTGATGAAGAGCTCGCGGAAAAGAAAGGCGGGTCAATTGTAGTCGATTCCACTGCTCGAACGAGCATGGCAGCAGGTTACCATGGATTTCGTTACAGGGTTACCCTCGAACCCTGGAACGACGCGGTTATGGTCGTCGTTGACAGGTTGATGAAAATGGCCACTTCGCTGCGTGCAAGAAGTCGATCTCAGCTGAGGAAACCGCTCGCCTGTTCATCGCAGCCGCTGTCCGCCTGCACGGGATACCAGCATCCATAATCAGCGATATGGACACGAAATTTACCAGCAACTTCTGGAGGAACCTTTGGGAGCAGTTCGGGACAAGGCTACAGTTCAGCTCGTCGAACTACCCCGAGACCGATGGTCAAACGGAGCGGACAAATCAGACGATGAAGCAGTTGATTCGTGCCACGTGCGACGACCCGACAACCTGGTAACAGCAGCTGCCGCTGATCGAGTTCGCGTACAACAACGCCACGTCAGCGACGACGCAGCAGTCCCCGTTTTACCTGAACTACGGGCAGAACCCAACAGTGCCCATGACGCCGAGTCCGGACAACCCTACGCCACGCGCTCAACAGTTCGCTGAAATTCTTCAAAGCTGCCCGAACACGCTCATCCCAGAGAAATCGATCTTCACGCACCTGGACTTGACGATCGCTGCCGAAACTGCCGCACGCCAACATCTTCCACGACTGAAGACGGAACAGAGACAACACCAACTAACGGAGGCAAATCAGAAAGGCGTCTGGCAACAGCAGCAGCAAAAGGGAAGGCCAAGGTTAGCGACGACAAAACAGACGAGCCCTCGGCAGAACCAGACTCATTCGAGGAGGAAGAACCAGTCAACCAGCCCACCAGCATGGACATCGTGGAGGAAGCAAAATGGCAGACTTCACACACCCAGTGCAACTGGCCCCACAGCCTACTGCTCGTGACCTCATCCTAGCCCTTGGCCTCTCCATCTCGCCACAGCCAAATCCGCAGCCTCCTCCCACCAACACCGCCGAACTACTAGCCTTCTATGCACGCTCACCTG